CCCCGTCAAATTGCCGGCCCTTTGGGCTTCTCAAGGCCACTCCTTGGACTCGAATGACCTTGACGAACGTGCAGAAGCCGGAGGACTGGCTCGAGTACCGTAAATATGCTCTTGATCTCGGTCCGGGTCCGGGATAATAAAGGCCGCGTTACAGCGTTACGGCGTTACGCACGGCGGTAACGCAAGTTTACGTGCGCCCGGCAGAAAACCGCCAATTATCGGGGTCTACCGCGCCGCCCAGATCCAGTTCACGCACTTTTTACGCCATCCGCATGCCGATTGATTATCGGTGGCGAGGCGTGAACGATCGATTATCGATATTTCCCCATTTGAGCCTATGGTAAAGAATCGATTGGTGCGAGCACCCTGTTTATTGATCCTTTTCCATGGCTTTAAATGGCAGATCAATCGATACATCGCAAAGCACGTCGCGCCACTGTTGATTATAACTAGCAATCATAGACAAGAGGAAATGACCGGTCGATTGATACGTTATCCGACCAAGGAATCACGGGGAAAAAAAGTCGCTTGGATCTAGTGTCCAGACTCTTAAAAACAATGACAAGAAAAAATACTCTCGATTCAATCGGATTTTTGCTTAAATCAAGAACCCAGCCTCTTAATTTAAGCAGATCTCTTTTTGATTCAAGCAAAAATCCGATTGAATGAAGAGCATTTTTTCTTGTCATTGTTTTCAAGAGTCTGGATTCTAGATCCAATCGACTTTTCTTTCCAGTGAAGGTTTCACAGATCGGCCTTACTAGCTCTCTCGTCGTAGTGGAGAAAGCCATTCTCTCAAATTTACAAAATTTGTATGATCGGATTGAGATGAAATCACCGATATTACTAGAAAACAACAAAAATCCTCTGATTTGTATATAGCAGTGCTAAGGAAGAACGCCGTATGAGCCTTCAGACGTTGCCGAGTTTCCTTTGATAAAAACCGAATGGAGAATTTGCAAGGGTCTGAAATTTGATGAATTTCCTGTTTAAGTGGAATCCTCCGAGTGAACTGAACACGAAGATACCCTTGATTCATAAATTGAGCAATTATTAGAGGAGATATGACAAAATAACCGATTCTGCTAAAATACATGCGTTTAAATGGGAAATGCCGCCAGATGACGTCACAAGGCGGCACATTTTCTCACTTTTAAATCAATTTTTCTCCAATTTCCCACGTCAGAAAAAAATTATGAAAAATATTGCGAACTCAGCTCATTAGGCACTTTCAGATGAAGCAATAAAAAAATTGCGTGCAAATTCTCCATTGACTGGGAATGTTGTGAATATTTTCCCCCCAAACTTTTCAGGCAATCTTGTACGCAATTTAACCTAAAATATCTGAGAATTTCAAAGGAAAAATATGCATGAATGTCGTCAAAAATACATGTTTTATCAAGGGAAATTTGACAACTCTCGATTGGTCATACCGATCCGATTGGCGTTCTTCCTTGCCACGGCGGGTTAATACCGAGACTTATGACGAGAAAGCCGTATGCCAGAAGAGCGCACAAATTGACGTTGTTTCAAACGAGACAGCCAAGAGGGGTATTCAGGGTTGCCATAAATTCCTAATCTTCACTGGGGGAAAAAAACACATTGGATCTAGAGTCGAGACTCTTGAAAACATTGACAAGAAAAAAAACTCTTGATTCAATCGGATTTTTGATTGAATCAAAACGAAATCCGCCTAAATTAAGAGGCTTGGTTCTTGATTTAAGTTAGATTCTAATTGAATCAAGAGTACTTTTCCTTGTCGATGTTTTTAAGGGTCTGGACTCTAGGTCCAATGTGTTTTTTTTCCAGTGTTCAAATCCCTGACGTTTCAAAAGCCACCGATATCGGAAATGTGATCCACGTTTTTGTAGATTACGCGGTCAAATTGTGAGTTCTCCCATTTAAAAATATAAATTTTCGTTGTCACAGTTCGTTTGAGCTATGTGCTAAGCCGCTCTCCATAATTTTTGCGGCCATCGACGGGTATTAGTTCCTCGATGAGCCCGCCAAATTCAGGTTTTGGAAATGTAACTCGGGTTTTTATTTTTATAAATTTATCAGGGTAGACCGCGAAACTAAACGAAACAAAGAGCAATACACTGGGGGAAAAAAAAATTGGATCTATAGAGTCCAGACTCTGGATAACATTGACAAGACAAAATACTCTTGATTCAATCAGATTTTTGCTTGAATCAAAAGGAAATCCGCTCAAATTAAGAGGCTTGGTCCTTGATTTAAGCTTAAATCTGATTGAATCAAGAATACTTTTTCTTGTCGATGTTTTTAAGAGTCTGGACTCTAGATCCAATGTGGGTTTTTTCTTCCCCCATTGTAAGGAAAATTTGAAAATCCAGCCAATGAAGAATGGTTAGAGTTTCAAATGTCTTTAACCTGGAAAGCGCGAAGCGCCCTCAGGGTGTTGAGCCGCGTAGCGGGTAGAGGGCATATAGCCCTCTAGAAATCTAGAATACTTTCAAACTACTGAATGCTTAATTAAGTGCCTAAATATCTGCGAGAACATCTTGACACTGACAACGTTTATCGTCCGTTGGAGATAGAGAAATCACAAAACTCATCTGCTGCTTTTGTCGAACAATTTAGTACTTAAAACCTGAGAGCCTGGTGCCACTGTGCTTGCATTCCGGTGAGATAAATGGACTGGCTTCAGAAGATAATATTCTCTCGTTAGAAATACTTGTTCGCGTGTCGATGAAATGTAGACGCTCATCCTCTACATTTTAACACATTCCGTCTTCGATCCAAGGAGGGTTCGAAGATCGATGAGTGATTAGCTCGTTGATTTATAATCTTTGCTACATGCTGAGCGAATGTTGCAGCGGATGGACAAACATTTAAAAGAAGCAAACAATGGAAATATTGCATGTGTGAGGGATTTGCGATTTGACAATTGATTCGTACGTAAAAGTTCGCGAGAAACACGATGGTGCCACTGGTTCCCTCTGAAATCAACTGCCAAGCTCAAAAAAAGCTCGCAAGTTGCGGCCAAAATGGAGGGGATATTCCACGCTATCCTGAGAGTCCACCTCTACATCAAGACAAACTCTCCGTGCAAAGATAGGGAACAAATACATTGACAGGGCTGCCACCTTATTTGAGCGCTCTGAAACTGAAAACAGGGCAACCCTGCTAATGTTTTTGCTCCCTATCTTTTTGCATGGAGAGTTTGTTTTGATGTAGAGGTGGACTCTCAGGTTAGCGTGGGATATCCCCTCCATTTTAGCCTCAACTTGAGAGCTTTTTTTGAGCTTAGGAGTTGCTTTCAGAGAAAACCAGTGGCACCATCGTGATTCTCGCAAACTTTAACAGTATCAACAGTCAAATCGCAAATTTCTCACACAATCAACATCTCCATTCAAACTACTGTAGGGTTGAAAACCTTGATTTTATCTTCAAAGTGGCAACAAAACGATGTGGAACTAATGACGAAAGCGAAGGATCCGGCCCTCTTTTCATACAATCCGCCATTTCCGCTGCATTTCCGAGCTTCATTCATTTGGCCGATATTCAAATGAATCTCGCAGGGTCCCTTGCCGAGGGACGATACCGAGCTAAAAATAATGATTGGTCGCGTTTTAGTTGACCCTTTCATACTCTTGGGGCGCCTACATCTGTGCACGGAGAAAAAATGAATAGCTGATTGAACAGGGTGTCTAGTATTCTTTAATTTTGAAAAATCCTGATATTTTCCCGATTTTGCCTGATGTTTTATAAAAAATTCCTGATTTTTTCATTTTGAAAATTCCTGATATTTTCCTGATTTTTCATTGAGAAATTTTCGGAAGCAAAGACGGCGCTACGACTCCTGGCTCGGTAGGCAAAAAGCAGTGAGACTTCTCCACTGAGGAGATTTGCGTAAGAAAAATTCCTGAGAAAACGTCCGATTTTACCGATTTTCCAGGTATTTTCCTGATTTTTTTCCTGATCGGCCAATGTTCCTGATATTTTCCGGTTTTTCCTGATGCTAGACACCCTGCTTTGACACAAAAAATGGCTTCCGTCATATCACTTTATTTCCTCACCCTGTAACGACCCATATTTTTGAAAATATGGCAACTTTGACGAGGCTCCCCATGTTTTCCCGTCAAATTGCCAAAAAAGCAGTAAGACTTCTCCGCTGAGGAGATTCGCGTAAGAAAATTTCCTGATAAAACGTCCGATTTTTCCGATTTTCCTGATATTTTCTTGATTTTTTCCTGATAGGCCAAAATTCCAGATATTTTCCAATTTTTCCTGCTGCTTCACACCCTGTTTAACAATTTTTTCCGATTATCCTGATATTTTCCTAATTTTTTCCTGATAGGCCAAAATTCCTGATATTTTCCAATTTTTCCTGCTGCTTTACACCCTGTTTAACAATTTAATTGTTAAAAAATAGGTCCGACATGTTTCATACGTACATTTTACAAGAGGCACCCGTTTCATTCCCGGCTCGCATTAGTTATCGCCCAAACTACGCTGCCGTGCTTAGGAAGAACGCCGTACGAACATTCGAGAGTTGCCAAATTTCCCTTGATAAAACGTGTCTTTTTGAAGACATTCAAACGTATTTTCCTTTGATATTTTCAGATATTTTAGATAAACCTAGGAATATTTTAAACAATTTTTAATTAAGAGATTTAGTCTTCCTTGATGGAATTGTTCCATTTAAAACTTGATAGTAACAATTGGATTGCATTTTGCAAAAGGAACCACCAGCATTGCAATGATGCTAAGATTGTGCAACTTCATCCTTTGCAATAAAATTGCGGACATCGTGAAAAACTATGAAATTTAGATGGTAATTTTTGTCTTAAATTTACAGTTTTTAGCAAGTAAAATAGAAACTATTAATGGATAATCGGATTTTTTCTCCAAGACAAAAGAAGTTGCACAATTTTAGCAACATTGCAACGCTAGTGGTTCCTTGTTGCAAAATGCAATCCAATTGAAGAGTTAGTCTCTCAGACAAGGTGTGAATCCAGAAAATTAAAATGACATACCTTATTAGAGTCTCGCAGCTATCAATCCTGAAACACAAGAAAAGGAGGTCGTTATTGTCACACGTTGCATTGAAATGAGGGAGGATACTAGTTGTTAATTATATGTAAAGAGCATGCGCAATGGGACTATTCAGCAATTTTTAATTCTTGTACCTCTGAAAAATAGAAAGGGGAAGGCCGTCTATGTATGTACATGATTCTACAGTGATTTTCCCAGATTTTGTTGAAAGATAGTAAACCACGAAAGACGCGTGCGACGTTACGTTAGCTTCTATTTGCCGAGCTAAGAAAAAACGTCGTATGAACATTTAAGAGTTGCCAAATTTCCCTTGATGAAACATGTCTTTTTGAAGACATTCAAGCGTATTTTCCCTTGATATTTTCAGATACTTTAGATTAAAAAGACGTACAAAACTGACTGCAAATGTTGGGCAAATATATGCACAATTTTTCCTGTTAATTCGGTTTTTATCGAAAGAAACTTGACAACGTTCGCAGGCTCATACAGCATTCTTCCTAAGTACGGCAGAGATGCTGGCCTCCTTGCCGTCAGTCAATATTGAAGGCGCATCGCATTCGTATGGTCACTTCACTCGCAAGATCTCTCGCCTCGCTAAATGATCGGAAGACGGCGCATTGCTCTTTTACATGTTTTTCGAGGATTTTTTGAGAAAAAAAAAAAAACAGGCTTATTCTTGGATCTTGAAACGACAGTGCTCTATGTACAAGCTCTGTCGCAAATTGAATAAGGTGGCCATTGGGATGTATTTTTTTCTGAATAAAATTGCCTTGAGCAGATATCATTTCTTCTCGTTTTTTTTTAAGATCGACACAGAAGCTATAGCAGGGTTGCCATAATTCCTTCAAATTCCTTCTTCAAATTCCGAGACTTTTCCTCGACTATTTTTGGTTTTCCAAGAATCCAAAATTTCGGGTTCCCTGACTTTCCCGGACATTTGAATAACATTTATCTTTGGATTTTTTCCCCCTTTAAATGACACTCCCTACTACTAAACGCAGATCAATTCCCTGACTTCTCCTTTACGAGTAAATTCCCTGACCTCTCCTCTATATTCCCTGACCTCTCCTCTATATTCCTTGACCTCTCCTCTATATTCCCTGACCTCTCCTTTTATATTCCCTGACTTTTCTCGGTCGCCGCAAATTCTGACTTTCCCGGTTTTCCAGATCGCAGGCAATTCTGCTACAGCCAATCTAAAGGACCACTTTTTTTCAGTTATTACGGCGGAACTCCGATACGTTTTAGAAAAATTCGATGGTTAACCGACTGACTGAACATTTCAGTATTTCAGGGCATTCTATTTAAAAATAATTGACTAAAATCTAGAAATTATCGACTGATCGATCAATGATGAAATTTTTCTCCTAACTGCTGAAAGTAGCAACCACCCTAAATATCCCGGATCCAAAAACGTTAGTAGATTAAAAAAAAGTGACTATTCGAATGGAGAATTTGCAGGTGTCTGAAATTTGATGAAGTCGGTGTTTGAATGGACGCTACCAAAGAAGCTGAACACGCGGATACCCTAGGTTCATAAATTGAACAATTATTGTGAAGATACGACAAAATGATCTAATCTGCTAAAATACATGCGTTTAAATGGGAAATGCCGCCAGATGACGTCAATAGGCGGCGCATTTTCTCACTTTGAAAACTAGTTATATACAATTTTTCATTGCCGAAAAAAAGTATAAAAAATACTGAAAAATCAGTTCTTTAGGCACTTCCAGATGAAGCAATAAAAACTTTGCGTGCAAATTCTCCATTGCAAAAATATTACCTTCTTGAAGACTCCTCAAGGGGATCCTTTCGAGGCATCAATAATCTTTTCAAGAGGTCATAACTTAGTTCAAATGACTCACGTTAGAGTATATTATAACAACCGTATCAAAAAACATATCCCTCCTTTCGGGAATCTTTCAGTCCATAAATTATTAAAATTAATTTTTGACGCACCACCGTGAGTCACGCATGTAGCCAAGGCATAAATCCAATGGCGTAACTGGAAATATATCAGCATCACTCACACAATCGCACAGCGGTCCAAAATTTCTGCTATTACCGTAACTCCACTGATTTCTATTTTTCTTTCTTTTTTTTAAGGGGGTGGGGGGGGGGGNNNNCACGGGTCATCCTAAAACTCGACAACGTCGCCACAGCAATAACTCTCCGGGGCAAATCATCAATTCCGAAGATAAGTAGAGAGCTTAATTAGATGCAACATCCGAAAAACAAACAACCAGATTACATGGGCCCTGTCAGATGTCGAAGGTTCGAAGCGAATCGAAGTCTCGAAGAGGGTGTCTGACCGGCTAGTTATTATTAGTCAAACCCGATTATTCAGCCGCGGCGCCAGTTTGCTGAAATATGCGACTATTCAAAATGTCTACGAGTGGAACTGTCCTGCGGGCCGATTATTGAAATTGATAGACGAAGCCATATATGGCTTCGTCTATCAATTTCTTTCATCTTTGTCTATAGACAAAGATGACAAAAGGGATATGGAGGGAATCGATTGGTGGAAGCTATGGACAAAGGCAGTAGGTATAGACTAACTATTGGAAACCCACGAGAAACCCGACGTTTAGTCCATCATTTTCTCCCTTAGTCTATAAGAACCACACATTTCAACCAATAGGTTAGCTCCATACCCCCTATGACTTCTTTGTCTACAGCTTCGTCTATCAGTTTCAATAATCAGCCCGCAGAGATCATAAGTCTAAAAACAAAAAGCGCAAAAACGATTATACTTCAAACGTCCAAAAAAGGCCCATTTTTTCAGATGCCCGAGTATCAAGTACGTTCAATGGCAGAGGTAAAGAAATAGTGTAATTGATAATTAACGGTTGATTGGACATCTGAACCAATTAGGTTTTATCTTTGTAGTTGGAAATACAGTCTTTTTTTTTTTTTTTTTTTGACTTTCGCTCTTAGGACAACTTCACTTTTGAACATTATTTGATGATCGTACATTCCTATCGTCTAAAAGTGGCCAGAATTCATGAAAAACAGAAAAAATGTTCAGGCTTTTAAAAAATTATTCAATAATGATTCAACTTTTCCAGTTTTCAGTGTTTCCTCAAGGACGTATAAACCCGTCCGTATAGTTCCATTCCACATTCGGACGATCACATATGAATCAGTGAGAACGAAAACACACCAACTCGATTGCTTGAAAATGCTCAATTTTCATTGAGGATGGGCAATGTTTTTGACTGTCATTGAAGTTAGCATATCTGTTCCAACTTGGACTTATTAAGTGTCCTTTAGTACTTGTTTTTCGGCGCCAAAAATATTTTTCTCAGACTAACTTCTCTACCTACTGGGCAATTTTGTGTGTGCCATGATCACTTTTATTTTTTCGAGTTGGTGTGTTTTCGTTCTCGCTGATTTATTTAGGAAAAGGGCACGGAAATGTTTAGAAATTGTGGAACTTGGACTTGGCAACGTTGATAGATATTGACGGGGCGCGTTCCAGGACATCAATCAAAAAAATCGAAAATCATCGCGTTTTAAGGATGTTTGTTTACATTGATAAGAGATTTCCTCCCCCTAACGGCGACTCTGGAGGGATAATACGGGGCTATTAAAATCTGTCGTAATGGACTGGGCAGCATGACTGGAGAGACTTGTTAGGTTAAGACTCATTGATCGCTCGGATTTTAGGGCTGTTACAGTGGCGATGAGGCGTGAATGATCGATTATCGATAATTCTCCGTTTGAATCTGTGGTAAAGAATCGATTATTAAGGTGTTCGTCGCAACCAACCTGTTTGTCAATACTTTTTCATAGATTTAAATGACCGATCGATTGATATATCGCAAAGCACGCCACGCTACTGGAGCCGGTCCTTTCAGAATATAAAATAAAAACATAATGTGTAGGGCTCCATTCAGGACCTCTTGGGCAGAAGAGCGTGTGAGACTTGAAATGCTCCTGAGATAATACAATTTTTTATGGAATTTGCAGCAAATGAAATTCATTCACAGTGGGTGAAATGGGGGGTGAAAATGAGTTTACAGGGCCTTGAAACGCTCCAGCCTCTTGAAAGTATGAATTATTTGGATCGCATTTAACAAAAAGGAACAAACGCGATTGCAGTGTTTTCAGAATTGTGCAACTTCTTCTTTACTTTTAAAATTACTCAGCATATGCACACTAGTAAAATTCACACGATTATATTTTCCTTGAAAATTAACAGTTTTTTGTCTGAAAACAAAGAAGATTCGCTATTCTGAGAGATTTTTTAGATAATTATGGAGAAGCAAAATTTTAACAACACAGTAATCGCGCTGCGCTGGTTTCTCTCGCTTAGTGCGATCCATTTAACCTTGGTTACGTATTGTCTATAGTTTATATCCTTGTCACATTTTGAGCCGCATAGCCTTTTAAAATCAACATTAGTGTAAAACCTGCCCGGTCTGATGCGATGCGTTCATTCAAGATGATGTGAAATCAACAATGAAATGGAACTTACAAAACGCCTTCAAATAAAAGAGTATACGCGTGGGCATAGCTAGGAAGTCAATGAAGTTGTATCACCGCGAAATGAAGGTGCGCCCTAGGCCGCGGCCGCCTGATCAAACTCAGAGGCAGGCCCGGCCCGAGTGACGCGCATTGGCGTGGCGTCAATGATCGATTATCGATATTTCCCCATATGAATCCGTGGTAAAGAATCGATTATTAAAGTGTTCGTTACGAACACCCTGTTAATCGATCCGTTTCCATAGGTTTAAATGGCAGGTCAATCGATATATCGCAAAGCACGCCACGCCACTGACTTCTAGTGAAATGAAACAGTTCCTTTTTCACGTTATTAGCTTGCCTACAAAAATGTCCGTCCCACCACTCTGAGAAAATAAAAAGCCGGCAATTACTTTGGTATAGGATGCAACTGGTGGGGTAAACAAACAAAAAATGCATGCCTTCATGCGGTTTACGAGGAGGAGGGGAGAATATTACGGCCTCAGAAAATTCAGTTCTTTCTTCGCGATATTTTGCTGCCTATGAAAATGTCTTTCCTTCCACTCGATAACGTTAAAAACGTGGTTTTAACTTTAAAAAAGGTGACACTGAGTAGAAAATGATAAAAAAAACTCGTGTCCCTATCTCGTTGTCCATCGAGGGAGCATATACAGGGTGGCCCAGACCTACCGTGCCAGGCCTTTTTTTCGGTTAAGTTAGGTCCCACGAAGTCCAGGATCGCGGGGATGAATAGGGGATCGACCCCAAGGAATCCGAATTTCATGGTCTCAAAGCCCCTCTGGTACCTCTTGGGGGTTTAAAAAGGGGGGGGGGTCAATACTTCAAAAGTCAGGGTTTATGTCAAAATTTTGATAATATTTCATCGGAATCAGAACGCACGGAAATTTTTAACTTAAATCGACACCAAGAAATCCAAAATCGGCCCCTTCGTGTCCAAAATATCGATCCCTAAGGGTGGGGGACAGAGCCCCCTTTCAAAAAAATTCAACTTCGTTAAATTGACGTGGAGGCGCGGAAAAAATGTGTATTCGTGGGTAATCGACCCCAAGGAATCCAAATTTGAGGGTCACGTTGTCCTCAGAGACTTTTCTGATGGGGCACAGGGGTAACCTCCACACCGGTTAAATTTAGAAGTTCAGAGTCCCCCTGTGCCCCATCAGAAAAGTCTCAGAGGACAACGTGACCCTCAAATTTGGATTCCTTCGGGTCGATTACCCACGAATACACATTTTTACCGCGTCTCCACGCCAATTTAACGAAGTTGAATTTTTTTGAAAGAAGGCTCTGTCCCCCACCCTTAGGGGTCGGTATTTTGGACACGAAGGGACCGATTTTGGATTTCTTGGTGTCGATTTAAGTTAAAAATTTCCGTGCGTTCTGATTCCGATGAAATAATATCAAAATTTTGACATAAACCCTGACTTTTGAAGTATGGACCCCCCTTTTACCCCCCAAGAGGCGCCAGGGGGGCTTTGAGACCAGGAAATTCGGATTCTTTGGGGTCGATTCCCTATTCATCCCCGCGATCCTGGACTTCGTACGACCTAAATTAACCGAAAAAAGGCCTGGTACGGTAGGTATGGGTCACCCTATAGACACTGGAAGTTTCAGTCCGTTTCGTATGATAGTTTTTCGTTCATTAACCTGATGATAATAAATTGAGAATAACTAACAGTCGAAAAGACGATTATCCGATTATCTGCTACTTTAAATGATTACAATCTCTTGACACGATAATAACTTAGGAATATTTTTAACAATTTTTACTTAAGATATTTGGACTACATTTTGCAATTTGGAACTATAAATTCTAGCCCGGTTTAAAAACAACGAATGTGCCATTAGTTTCCCTTTGCTTATAAGTGTTTTTCCAGAAGAGCCAGAATTTATAGTTCCAAATTGCAAAATGCAGTCCATTTAGTCTTCCTTGATGAAATTGTTCCATTTAAAACTTGATAGTAACAATTGAAGGGTTAGTCTCTCGGACAAGGTGTGAATCCAGAAAATTAAAATGACATACCTTATGAGAGTCTCGCAGCTATCAATCCTGAAACACAAGAAAAGGAGGTCGTTATTGTCACACGTTGCATTGAAATGAGGGAGGATACTAGTTGTCAATTATATGTAAAGAGCATGCGCAATGGGACTATACAGCAATTTTTAATTCCTGTACTTCTGAAAAATAGAAAGGGGAAGGCCGTCTATGTATGTACATGATTATACAGTAATTTTCCCAGATTTTGTTGAAAGATAGTAAACCACGAAAGACGAGTTCGACGTTACTTATGTTGAGCTTCTATTTGCCGCGCTAAGGAAAAACGTCGTATGAACATTTAAGAGTTGCCAAATTTCTCTTGATGAAATATGTATTTTTGACAACATTCATGCATATATTTCCTCGAAATTTTTAGATGTTACAGATTAAATTGCGTACAAAATTTAGTGCAAGTTCTAGAAAATAATATACATAATTTTACCGCCGGTAAATTTACTTTTTATCGGTGGAAAGTTAGTAACGTCTGAAGGCTCGTATGGCGTTCTTCCTTAGCACGTCAGTATTTGCACGCAAATCTCCCAGGAAGCCAATGTGGCGTCCGAAAATATGCCGAACACCGTTTTGTCACTTTCGATCCGCGAAAATTAAAAACGCGCCATAAATAATAAGGGCTGTGCAACTGGTTGGAAACAACGGATAATCCATGCTCCCATGCCGGTTTCTCCGGTCGAGAATCTAGAGCTTGGAGTTTTCAGTAGCTTTCCCGAGGATATGCATCCACTAATAAAATACGCTTACTCCTGAACGTCAGTGATGCGAGACAGGTGGCAGGTAAAAGGCAAAGATTTGCCTGCAAATCGGCGTGATACCACACATCATACCAACGGCGCACAGTGCGAAATCCTTACGGACGATGCGGACGAAAATCGGTAGACACTTAACTTTAAATAATGAAGAGAGTGGCACCGACTTGGGAAACCTCTTTTGCCACTCTCAAAGTAAAACACTCGAGGAATAAGAAAATGTTGCATCTCGAGATTTTTTTGCGTATTTTTCGAGAAAAGTTCATTTGAGGTTCAATGTAAAAGCAACGTGAAACACTCGTACTTTAACTTCGAACATCTCTGATAGTCGTAAAAAGTCGCAAGATCTTTTTGGTAGAATTGAAGTTGGATACCTGAGGATTAAGAAAATGTCAACCACTCAGAGCATTTTGCGTTTCCAGCGAGAAATCTTCATTTGAAGTTGACGTCTTTTTCCCGTGTAATTCTTAAGGACCAATGATTCTCGACCCATTTCCCGCCCAATTTCTATCCAAATAAAGTAGTTTCGAGCGAAAAAGAGCGACGCCAAGAATGGCACAATTTGGGCCAGCGGGGATTTTTCTGAAACTGGGCCTAAACGATACCTTATGATACCCTAAAACTCTGGTTAAAATTTTAGCTTTAGTATACGAACGATTTTTGAGAAATGAGGGGGTAAAGTTGCCAAATCGCCATCATTCTGGACAGCATTTCTACAGCAAAAAGATGGGAAAAATGGACGGAAAAGTTACACTTTCGATGGGTTTCTGCTGTAAATGTTCTTATTGGGCCCCCAAGCATTTAACTGTGTTCAGTTTCAAAAGTTTTGGTTGCACAGTGGTCCAAAAATGGGGAGAAATCGTCGACAAATCAGGATTCTTTGTCGAATTTTTAAAAATGGAAATGAAATTGTCGGTCTGCTGCAGTTTTCATGGCTAACAATGTTCTTATCGGTCCTCGATGCAAGAAATTGTGTTCAGCTTCACAAATTTACATCGCACAGTGGTCAAAAATGGGGGAATTAGTAGACAAATTAAGATCCTCTGTGAAACTTTTTAAAAATGAAGTGAAACTGTTGGTCCCCTGTAGAGTTTAGATCCCGGAAAAATTCATGTATCTAATTTTTTTAAAATTATTACTGCATGTCAGACCGTATTGTTTATGGAACATTGTTCTAGAATAGACTTTGTAGCATTATCTCAATAAAATATGCAAACTTTCAAAAATTTAAAAAAAGAAGGAAAAATGGGGAGGAGGAATAGAAAAAAAGATTTAAACAGTCCAAAAAAGAATTTAGAGAATTTTCCCGGGATCTAAACTCTACTGGGGACCAACAGTTTCACTTCATTATTAAAAGTTTCACAGAGGATCTTAATTTGTCCACTAATTTCCTCATTTTTGACCACTGTGCGATGTAAATTTGTGAAGCTGAACACAATTTCTTGCATCGAGGACCGATAAGAACATTGTTAGCCATGAAAACTGCAGAAGACCGACAATTTTATTTCCATTTTTAAAAATTCGACAAAGGATCCTGATTTGTCAACGATTTCTCCCCATTTTGGACCACTGTGCGACCAAAATTTTTGAAACTGAACACAGTTAAATGCTTGAGGGCCCAATAAGAACATTTACAGCAGAAATCCATCGAAAGTGTAACTTTTCCGTCCATTTTTCCCATCTTTTTGCTGTAGAAATGCTGTCCAGAATGATGGCGATTTGGCAACTTTGCCCCCTCATTTCTCAAAAATCGTTCGTATACTCAAGCTAAAATTTTAACCAGAGTTTTAGGGTATCATAAGGTATCGTTTAGGCCCAGTTTCAGAAAAATCCCCGCTGGCCCAAATTGTGCCAAAAAACGGTCGTTTTTGGCGTCGCTCTTTGTCACAGTAATATCTTAAAGATGACTAACACCAAAAAAAAAAAAATATGCAGATGTCGAGTTGTGTTTTTTATTTTGTTACTTTTGTCCAGAGAGGGCCGCGCTGTTCGGCGTGGTTCTGATAGTCGAAAGCTTGATTTCCGCATTCAACTGTGCATACTGCCTACATTCAAAGCCTCAGTAATTTGAGACAGATGCAGAGCTAAGATTTTCCTTCAAAGCGGCATGATACCACATCACATACCAATAACGCCGCTGATCCGATATCTGCGCACTTGATTTCAGACTTTAACGTTCACTGAAAAAAAAACACATTGGATCTAGAGTCCAGACTCTTAAAAACATCGACAAGAAAAAATACTCTTGATGCAATCAGATTTAAGCTTAAATCAAGAACGAAGCCTCTCAATTTGAGCGGACTTCCTCTTGATTTAAGCTTAAATCTGATTGAATCAAGAGTCCTTTTTCTTGTCAATGTTTTCAAGAGTCTGGACTCTGGATCCAATGTGTTCTTTTTTCCAGTGTTGATAGCATACAAAAGTCATTAATGCGTGACAAGTGTAACGCCAATATTTTCCTATATTTCCACGTGATGCGGCACGTCACGTACCTACTCCGAAATCCGAAAAGAGGAGTTTCCTTCAAAGCGGCGTGATACCACATCACATACCTACTCCGGAATCCGAAAAGAGGAGTTTCCTTCAAAGCGGCGTGATACCAAATCACGTACCTACTCCGGAATCCGAAAAGAGGAGTTTCCTCAAAAATCTAGAAACTATATAGATTAGTGATGGTCTACGAAAAAACGTAACACACATGGAGCGGTCGTTCGATAGGCGGGCGGGGAGTGGAAATGGCCGATTGCTATCTTCGTCATAACCTCAAATACATGGAATATTACGGGCGTTTTTAAAATAAATGATTTAGCGTTGAAATTTTCATCGTAAACGTACTTGATGAATGGCTATGTTCCATATCTGGATACATATTTTCAAATAGTTGGTTCTAAATTTGATTTAAGTCCGTATTCAGCAACAGTCCCCTAAGAAGCCATAGAAACCGACCTAATTTTTACATCTGGTGTGTTACGAATTTCACTGTTGGCGTAGCATAGGAACCCCCTTTCTACAGTTTCTAGATCGTTGAGTTTCCTTCAAAGCGGCGTGATACCACATCACGTACCTACTCCGGAATTCGAGAGGAGAAGGGTTCTTCACGGAGGATGAAAAGTTACGAATGACAGTAATTCTATGGAAAATCGTGGTTTTCCTTTTCACCGACCGTCTCCGTGCAAATAATCGTTTGGGGATACGGAATCTGAAACTTAACCTTCTTCGTCGACGACTGTCGCGTCGTAACAATGATCGTGCATCTTTGTTTCATCAGTGACGCCTTCCTGTAATCACGCGGAGTAATCACGTAAACAGTGCTACCGTGCTAAGGAAGAACGCCGTATGAACATTCCAGAGTCGCCAAATTTCCTCGGATAAAATGCTTATTTTTGAGAAAATTTATGAATGTGTTTCCTTGAAATATTCTGACACTTTACATAAAATTACGAACAAAATTATCTGAGAAATTGGCTGAAAAATATTCAAAAACTATCCTGAAAATGAGTGATTGCCAAAGGAAATTTGGCATGGTTGCTAATTGGCGACTGGACACAATTTGTCCATTTTTGCTGATAAGTAAACTTAAACCATCAAAATACGATTCCGTCTAACGCAATTGACCCCTGTTATATCCTGCAGCAATAGTCAACTGCAGAGGAAAAATAGATAAAATTATGACAAGAAAGGACGAACTAATAGATACGTACCAGAAGAGAGTTATCCAATTGCCCGACGCCAAGCTGTAAGCACTCACGACACCACACCTTCACTAGAATCGCACTGCGCACTAAAAAATTGGCCTCAAAAAGGTCATTATAATAGTATTATTATTATTATTATAGGATATAAATATTTAAAAAATTACAGATTCACCAGGAAATGAATCATGTGTGCTTAACTTACTTCAATTCTGCTCAGATAAGGCGTTTACAAAAATATAACATGAAAACGAGATAGGAAAAATCATGAAAATAAAATGATACAAATAATAATGATGATAAAAGGCGTATCTTGAAACCGGAATAATACAACCACAAGAAAAATTTTCATGTGGACAGTCAAAAAACGAAAAAGGCGAAGAAACCGAAAATACTTAATGCATGTTCTTCCACCTCCACTGTATGAAAGTCCAGATGCAGATGCAATAGTTTCCAATTATTTTTGTTTTGATTGGTTTTCTTTGCCTTAAAAGTCCCAAAAAATAAACGTATGCTTTGTTTTTGTTTACCCTATAAAACATAAATAATTGTATAATTTATCATTTAACCGATATCGTGGATGCAAGCCGTGAATCGCTTACAGCGCTTAATTCATCGTTCGACTTGGGAGCATAGAGAGTTGACTTTTACTTCAACGACGAACTCTCGTTAGATGTTTACGAGGCGAAAATCTGCGATTACGCAAGGGAATATCTACCGACAATATTGGGTACCAAGATCGTTGCTTGAACTTCGAATTTACTGAGTCAATGACGACTGAGTATTCAACAACTATTTCAAGGAATACTACAAAAAGCAAGGATTTTTCTACCCCCCCGGGAAGAAAAAAAAGTAGTCAAAGGGAACCCGGTTTCATCGGAACACATTGAAAGTGCAATCACTGCAGGCATAATCTTAAATATAAACTTCGAGCAGAACTTAAAGGCGGAAGTTGATCTTCGTCCACAAAGCGTGTAAGTGCGGTGGACAGTAACTAGTGCACATTTAAGCCGAAAGAAATAATTTCAAAGTTCCGCAGCAAAAATCACAGGCTTTCCAGTACTGGGCTCATTTCCCTGACTTATCCAGGGTTTCAACGACTTATCAAGAACTATTCACCCTGGGATCTACATTATCAGGGCTGCCATTACTCTTACGTTTCGCGAATTTCTCGCTCACTTCCTACGTACCGATAGAAATTTTCTCACTTGCTACCCATCGTTCTCCATTTCTCTCACTAAGATTCACAGTCCTTCATTTGACTCACTTATCGCTCACCGTTTCTCGAGTTTGTTCTCTCTTTACTCTGAGTGTCTCGATTTTACTTCCTTGTTTCTCTCTGTTCTCGATTTTACTCACTCCTTACTCGCCGCCGTTCCTCGATTTTTCTCACTTGGTACTCACTGTTCTCCGTTTCTCACTACCATTCACCGTTCTCGATTTTACTCACTTATGACTCACAGTTTCTCGATTTTTTCTCTCTTTACTCCTTGTGTCTCTCGATTTTACTCCCTTTTTTCTTTCTGTCCTAAAATTACCTTCCTCTTTAGTGTCCGTTCTTGCCTTTACTCACTCTTCACTCGACGTTCCTCAATTTTACTCACATATTACTCAAAGTTTCTCGATTTTATTCTCTCTTTACCCCCTGCGTCTCAAGATTTTACTACCCCTTTTTCCTCTCTGTCCTCGAATTTACTTCCTCTTCAGTGTCCGTTCTTGCCTTTACTCACCCTTACTCGCCGTTCCTGAATTTTACTCACATATTACTCACAGTTTCTCGATTTTATTCTCTCTTTACTCCCTGTGTCTCAAGATTTTACTACCCCTTTTTTCTCTCTGTCCTCGAATTTACTTCCTCTTTAGCGTCCGTTCTTGCCTTTACTCACTTTTTACTCGCCGTTCCTCAGTTTTACTCACATATTACTCACAGTTTCTCGATTTTACTCACTCATTACGCAAAAATCACACGAGAAATGTATTCTTTTAGGATCGATCATCACTTCATCGATCGCTAATCACACCGCGGGACACTATGATGGAGAATCACTCTTTAATTATTCACAGATCATTTGAATACTCACACACTACTAAAATGACACCCATTTAACTCACCGATGCTTAAATTACTCAAAAATTGGCAGCCCTGATTTGTTTAACTAACTAAGAGGGATTGAATATTCATAACTCACAACAAAAACGACAGTTTCCTTGACAGTTAGTCGTTATGCTGAGAAAAATAATTTTTGTGTTAAGGGATAAATATTCTTACTCTTAAAAATTCTGCTACTGATTTTTCTTCGTCTACTACTGACTGCTAAAACTTCTTCCTCTCCTACTATTACTGTCGTTGTTTTAATTTTTCCAGCCGAATTATAGACTGGCTTGATTTCCAAAATCAAGGGATTTTTACAGCTGCTGTAACTGCTATTGCTGCTTTAACTGATACTAGGGAGCTAAGCCCCCTGGCCGCTACGTGGCCCAACCCCCAGAGGGCGCTTCGCCCCCTCTTAGGCCCGCTTCGACAAAAGAACGACAAAAAAAAAATGAAAAGATTTTCATACCTGACTCTCATTTGTCCAATCTCCCTCTAGCCGGGAGTGATTGGACCATTAAGAATTATATAGAAAAACCGTCATTTATTTCAAATTTAAACGAAACTATAACTAAAAACTTAACTAAACTTGAACTAAAACTAAAATGAAACGAAACGAACAGAACGGAGCGTTTTGTTGCTTTCGGGAAGTCTGTAGTAAAGGAGCATACCTTTAATTCACTTATCTTGCCCTATACTAACAGACGAAGAATACGCTGATTTTTATTATTGACTTAATTAAGGTGGCTTTATTATTCCTAATATTATTACTTACTATTAGGTAGGTACTTATATTATTTAGGCTGACTATTTTGAGGTGGTTCGATGGACGCCATATCTTGTGTCAGAACGACATGCGATATATCGCATGTCGTTCTGACTCAAAATATAGCCTCCATCTAATCACCGAGAGTTCAAGAGTGAGTGAATGCGAGGGATAGAACTATCATACGTCCTACTCCTACTTTGAACTTCCTCCCGTATGAGTTGATTCCTCCCAGGAAGTAAACAAACACCGATCTGTCGAACGAATTTTGCTGTAATACGAGTTTTGCTTTTCTCTCTTTGCAAAAAAAAAGGTGCTAAAACAGCGTAGAAGCATACTTCAGCAGTCTGTTGGTGAAAAGTCTCTTCCCAAAACCCCTAAATTAAAGCCAAATGAGACTGACCGCGAAATATCGCATTCGATTTAACCAGCAGAATGCGATATTTCGCGGTCGGTCTCATTTGGCTTTAATTCAGGGGTTTCGGTAAGAGACTTTTCAACAAAAGACTGCTGATGTATGCTTCTACACTGTTTCAGAACTTTTTTTTGCATTTAGTGAAAAGGAAGGCTCGTATTACAACAAAATTTGTTCGACAGATCGATGTTTGTATGCTTCCTGGGTGGAATCACCTTAACCCACACCCTAACCCAACCTCTCGTCCCAACCCAAACCCCCTCCCTCTCATAGTCTTTGCCCACCTTAACTCATGAGTCCCGCCTTACCAAGTCAGTCAACTGACGCCTATCCCGTTGCGGCTAACCCCGAGGTAAATGAAACGTAGGTATGCTCTTACTGACTCTATCGGTCAGAAGTATGCTTCCGAATTCCGCTGCTAGAGCTGAGGCGCGAAATTTGAATGTCAATAACTTTAAAAAGTTGTTGAAATTCTAATTTCGTACCACAGCTCTAGCGGCGAGAGCCTAAAGCCCACTTTTGACTGCGAGAGTTTGGAAGAGCATACTTACGTTTCGTTTACCTCGGCCATATCCAACCCAACACACAATCACACATTAAAACAAGACCTAACTTCTAAAATAAACTGTGCCCGTACCAATCCCCTCCCCCCACTCCCCTCTAACCCATCCCTTAATCCCAACCCAAACCCCCCCACACCATACCCCTAACCCCCGCCCGCCCTAGCCTGCCCTAAGCATATCAATCCAGCCTAGCTAACATGACCTTACCTTATCTGGCATAACACAGCACACCACACACGGAGAAAACAATTTCGAGCGTGGGACCCAAAGTTGAGGTCGTATGCATCTCTGAAGTTTTCGGATCACGCATCCGAAAAACTTCAGGACCAGCTGCCAAAGTTCGGGTCAGACATCCGAAGTACTTCGGTACGTACCGGAGTACTTCAGACGTGTGACCCGAACCCTTCGGCATCGATTTTCGGATGCGTGATCTGAAACTTCTGAGATCCACTTGACCCGAAATTCGGGTCTCTCGCACGAAATGTTTTTCTCCGTGCTTCACACTATACCACGCCATAACACAACACAACACAACACAACACAACACAACACAACACAACACAACACAACACAACACAACACAACAGAACACAACACAACACAACACAACCAAGTCAGCCACGGTAAAAAAACTCGTTTTTTACCGCAGCTGTACCTCGGGCGCCAATCCCAAGGTCACTGACCAAGGGTAGAAAGGGCAGGGCACCTACACGGTGCCCGCCACCATCCACCGGGGCAGACGTGCGGCCGGGGCGGCGTCTGCAGATCGCTCCTCTAGCGCCTCCAGACGGTACACGACATCCGCCGACCGGGCGGACGACCGCGCGCCGGGCGCTTCGTCGAGTGCTCGGTCGGACGACAGGGCCTCCAACTCAACTTCACTTTCAGACCGAGGCTCAAGGCATCAGCCTGAGAGTGAAGCTGATACGGAGGCACTGTCATCACGGTAGAGCAGTCGACGGAGCGCCCGACGGGTGTCCACCCGCTCGACGGACGTCGACGTCGACATTCGACGACCGGGCGGACGACCGCGCGCCGGGCGCTTCGTCGAGTGCTCGGTCGGACGACAGGGCCTCCAACTCAACTTCACTTTCAGACCGAGGCTAAAAGCCTCAGCCTGAGAGAGAAGCTGATATGGAAGCACTGTCATCACGGTAGAGCAGTCGACGGAGCGTCCAGCGGGTGTCCACCCGTTCGTCGGACGTCGGACCGTAAGTGAGGCACTATGACCGGAACTGACGGCGGTCGTCGTC